AAAAAAGACGGTAAGGTGGTGAAATATATATATATATATATATATATATAGATCGGGTGAGTTTATTGGTTCTTCATCAGGTGGCTGTTGGTCTGTTCGCCGAGCTGGGCCATTGGATTTGAAGCGTTTCATAACCATGGGAGGTAACGTCCTCAGTGAGCATTTGGTTGGGTATTTCTTCCTTGCCTCTGTGCGTTTATATAGCACTCAAAACTATATGTTGTCTTCTCACGTGATTGGCAACTTGGAGTGAAACGAATTTAATGAAGCTATTGGTTCGATTGTGATCTTTGTTGCTTCGTGGTCTGTGTTCCTCTGTGTTGATTGGTTATAACGACGGCCTCTAACTTTTGTAGCTTGTTCTCTCTGGCCTTGATTCGCATTGTGTTTTGGTTTGCCTTTCTCGAGTCTGATCGGGTGCTTGTAGTTTTATTTGGCTTCCTGAGTGTTCTCCAGACAAAATTCTTTTGTTATCCATATTTTTGTAACAATTCATATCGGCGCTCTTCTTCTTTGATCTTGGATTCTGTTGTACTGCAACGTGTCTCGATCTGCTTGAAAAGTGTCCGAATGTAGCTTCGTTTATGGCACTTTGGATGGTTGCTGTGGTAGATAAGGATTTGGTCCGTATGTGTCGCCTTTCTGTAAACCTTAGTTTGTAGTTGTTCGTTCGGCAATCTAGTGACGAGGATGTCAAGGAACGCCAGTTTTCTTCAACAAATACCTGAGAAAACACGTTCGTCCACACAGCGTAACCTACCGACCACCAATGAACCACCCTCAACCTTGGATATTAGCTCGACAGAATAGTCGACGAATGGTTAGTCTCATGATTACAGACGCTCACAACCGCATTAGGAAATACGAGGGAATAGCCAACAAACACAAGGAGGCCTGCTTGGGGGCAATAGGACCAGACATCATGGAGAAACTGGGCATGGCGGTAGAACGGGGAGTTTCATCCACTGCTAAATGCAAGAGGGCTCATCTAGATGGCAAATTCTCAGGGCGGATTAAGAACCAGGAGTGCAAAAGTAATCACAATGAAGGCCGGATAAGTATTCTTTCCAAAGTTAACTGACGGTAGCTGAAGAAAACTTTCTCCACCAGACTACATGAACACATACGCGCCACTAAAATACACGATCAATTCGCCCCCATCTCCGCACACAAAGATCAAGAAGGACACGAGTTCGACCGGAGCGGCGACCGCATACAGGCTCAAGCAAGAACAAAAAGGGAGCGCGAATTTACGGAAGCGTGGTACTCCACCGAAGCCATCAACAAACACATCCAACTTGATCCCATTTACAATCCACTAAGAGAGAGAACGCCAGAACCACAGAACGTAGAGCTGCAAAATCGACCAGACGAGGAACTCATACGGAAATATCAATTGTATTGGAGGAGGCGCCCAATCAAAGCACCAAATCAACCGGCGGACGCAAAAACATAAACCGAGACGGTGGAGCAAATGTAGCGGTACAAGCACGCAATCAGACTTGACAACGGCAAACGCAATGCAAAGTAAGTCCAGGTCTCAAAACCTACTAAAATTAGAAGCCGTCGGGATAATCAATCAACACAAAGGAACACAGACCTCAACGCAAACGGAAAAAATTCACTAAATTCGTTTCATTTCAAGTAGCCAATCACGTGAGGATATCACAGAGAGCCTTTGACTGCCAATGGTCAAATCTCGGCGAACAGATAAACAGCCGTCTGATCAACGACCAGTAGATGAATGGATAGATAGATAGATAGATGATAGATAGATAGATAGATAGATAGATAGATAGATAGATAGATAGATAGATAGATAGATAGATAGATAGATAGATAGATAAGATAGTAGATAAACAGATAGATAGATAGATAGATAGATAGATAGATAGATAGATAGATAGATAGATAGATAGATAGATAGATAGATAGATAGATAGATAGATAGATAGATAGATAGATAGATAGATAGATAGATAGATAGATAGATAGATAGATAGATAGATAGATAGATAGATAGATAGATAGATAGATAGATAGATAGATAGATAGATAGATAGATAGATAGATAGATAGATAGATAGATAGATAGATAGATAGATAGATAGATAGATAGATAGATAGATAGATAGATAGAGAGAGAGAGATGGGTAGATAGATGGATAAATAGATAGATATATAGATAGATATACAGTCATTCAGACAGCCCAACTGACAAAGTGACTGACGGTCAGACAGATAGACAGACAGGAATATATAAATACTCACGCAGTTGAATGAATAGGGTTGAGTCCGCATAAACATATCGGAGCGGGCTTATCGTAGATCAATCGAATGGAGCGTCTGATGATTGCCTTTAGCATGGTCAGTTATAATCGAGCTGATGTTGAAAATCTATCAGTTCAACAGACAAGCGTTTTACCGGTTGAAATGATTCGTGGATTTCATGTTACACCCTCCGACGGAACCGAGGTGTTTACCACTGACCATGAAAAGAGCACAAAATTGCTCACCAGCCAAACTCGGTTTGCTCGATAATTGTGCGGCGGAATCGGTAGTTCATCAACGAGTTTGGTTGGATTTGTTCACCTCATAAAAGTACACATCAGAAGTAACGCCCTATTTCGGATATTCAGCAAAATCCATGAAACGTTCAGTGATGTTCTACGTACTCCAAACTGGTGCACAGGAAAACCGAGTGATTCTGTGCAGTTTGTTCTTACTAGCGAGTAGTCTATGAAGACGATCCTTCCAATCTGTTAACAATAAGTGCTGTTTATTTGTCTTCTTGGTTTTAGCCGAACGTTGCAGATAGAAAGCCCTCTTGCCAGGCGCATTTGTTATCAAAGTTTCGGCGCTTGATGGAGGCCGAAACCGAGGAGGAACTTGAAGCCGCTTGGCGTAAGCTGCACCGTGCAATTCAGGTTCGTGTTTTCTTCTGCTTCTCCAGTGCATCTCAATAGAAAAAAACTAAATGCACGATATAATATCATTTTATGCGAGAGTCTATGTTTGTGGTGGGTAAATGTTATCGAAGATGCATAGGAGCAACTAAACGTCATCAGCCCAATATTTTAGTGACCGTGACTTGACGTGCGAGAAATTTTTTAAGTGTATCTAAAATCTTCCACAACTATTCTTCTCGCTTCTGTCAGCTTGGCCACATCGTCAAGGAGACGTTTCGCAACATCATCATGGATGTGACAACCCACCATGAGCCAACAATAAAGGGTTTATCCAAGAGGGATGAGCTCATGTGTTTCAAGGTAGTATTCGATCAATTCCGGGCGCACTGCTTCACAATTCAGCAGGCAAGTTGACCCCGTGATGCATTCATTACTAGCCAATGCATTCACCCACGGCGTCACGTAAGGCGAGCGTCAGTCTCAAAATTACTCTTAGTGAAACGCCCAGCAAATTAAGTTTCGGGGCAGATGTGCTTCAGTTCAGTTGGGTTCAGTTTAATTCAGTTCAGTTTAGTTCGGTTCATCTCCGTTTTTCACCTCATCAAGTTGTCACCTTCAGGCCAATGCTGGCATCTATAAACAACCTGGGAATTGAATTATTGCCGGCAAAATCCGACCACCACGACAGGGTTTTAGACTGAGTTCGGACGTCACACGGGACTGTGGTGACGGGGTATATCTGTCTGCAATCGGTCCGTGTGTTCAAACCTACTACAAAATATTGTGAAGCATGATCTGGTCAGCAAATCTGGCTGCAATCGTTAGTTTTGTTTGTCAAAAGCGCACAATTTCGAGGAAAATCTACCGAACAAATGGATGGCCAACCTACGGAAAGCTGAAACAATTTGCTTGATAAAACTCTAAAAAGTCGAGCTCAAGATGATACCCATGACTAAAGCACTCGGGTCAGTTCATATGAATATTTCCGGTTTACTTTGAGTTTATATTGTGGTTTCAATGTTTTGAATACCTCTGGTGATTCTGTGGTGGTATAAATGCCGCTTTTTCAATCAACGAGAATCGCCCCTTGATTATAAAATTCGTTCGATCCTACCTGCAAGTAGTTTGCTTGAAAGGCGACGGATAACCAGCTATTGCGCCTTGGAACTTACTGGGCTTCGACACTGGACTACCGGTATTCTGCTCTTCTACACTGTTTCCTTAGAGGAGAACTTCTGCAATACTGCCATTATTTGGAAATGATCAAAATTAGAATTGAATCCAGATACTTCCCTCTACGGATGACTAACTTATATAACTTAGTTGTCACCTTCAGGCCAATGCTGGCATTTATAAACAACCTGGGAATTGAATTATTGCCGGCAAAATCCGACCACCACGACAGGGTTTTAGACTGAGTTCGGACGTCACACGGGACTGTGGTGACGGGGTATATCTGTCTGCAATCGGTCCGTGTGTTCAAACCTACTACAAAATATTGTGAAGCATGATCTGGTCAGCAAATCTGGCTGCAATCGTTAGTTTTGTTTGTCAAAAGCGCACAATTTCGAGGAAAATCTACCGAACAAATGGATGGCCAATCTACAGAAAGCTGAAACAATTTGCGCGATAAAACTCTAGAAAGTCGAGCTCAAGATGATACTCATGACTAAAGCACTCGGGTCAGTTCGTATGAATATTTCCGGTTTACTTTGAGTTTATATTGTGGTTTCAATGTTTTGAATACCTCTGGTGATTCTGTGGTGGTATAAATGCCGCTTTTTCAATCAACGAGAATCGCCCCTTGATTATAAAATTCGTTCGATCCTACCTGCAAGTAGTTTGCTTGAAAGGCGACGGATAACCAGCTATTGCGCCTTGGAACTTACTGGGCTTCGACACTGGACTACCGGTATTCTGCTCTTCTACACTGTTTCCTTAGAGGAGAAATTCTGCAATACTGCCATTATTTGGAAATGATCAAAATTAGAATTGAATCCAGATACTTCCCTCTACGGATGACTAACTTATATAACTTTGGTGGATTATCAACCAAACATGTTGCATGACTGATGTTAAAAACCCTAAATCCGTCTCCATCGGTTTCTCTACATTTTCTACATTCACGGTCGGCAGCTGTTTTAACCAGAACCCTATATTATCACGGATGTTCGTCGCCATTTCAGTTACTTCATTATCTCCACAGCGGGATCAGTAACACAAATAGGGATACCGAAAGGACTGCTGAAAGTGTTAGACAGGTCACGACAGGTTTCGCTTATCTTGGGGTTCATCAGGTAGGGCGCACTTCCCCCCATCAGCCTTGTGTTCTAGATGATCTTTTGGTTGAAGCGAAGCATCATTTTTGGTTCTTTTCTGTCCCCTGTCGAAACCAAATTTGTATGCAAGCTGGGGCATTTGTCAAAATACGTCCAATTCGAAATGCATCTACCTGATGAGCCGCGAAACGGGCGATGTATTTTGTTTCGTAGAGTTCTCACATTTTCATTCTTCTACTAGGTAGCTGAGAAAATTCGCGTGTTCTCCGCTAGCAATGAAGCAGTTTAAATCAAGATGCTTCGCTTGGTCGGAAATTCAGATAAGCGGATACTCGCCAAAATCTCTCATTAGTAACTTTTTTCTAATCTCGAGCCCAGTATCTGCTCGAACTTCAGCGTGCCTCACTAGCAATCATCCCCACTCTTTAGCATCATAGTTGGCACATTTTCTCGGGAATGCTGAATTCTGTTGGGGTACGTTGGGGTGAAGCTTATGTGAACACACATTCCTGTTTCATTGGAAGCATTGTCGGGCACATGTTCAAACCTGTGTTGGACATACCTGGTCCTCGGACCGTTGTATGCGTGCATTTCGTTTGCATTCCTGGACTGATTTCCCAGTTGAAATTCTCTTATCTCTCTTAGACCGTTCGGTAGAAACCGAAACATCTAGGTAAAACCGTCGGGATTCTCAGGCCTTGTGGACTCATCAGGACGCCTCCGCACTTCTTACGTACCTCTGCAAGCCAGGTGCACAGGACGACCAAAAATAGTGCGGTCGGGCAACATTGGTGGAACAGTTTTGTGTCGTCTGTCGACTCAAACATACTGCTCAAATTTCAGTGGTTCTCGAGGTCAATCAAGCCGTGCTAGAGACGCATCATCAAACTTAGCCATATCGACTTTGAATATGTTCTCATACAGTCCTTCGAAACTTCATCGGATGTTTAGATGTGGTCCTTGAGAAGTCCTTAGTTTCTGCGAAAAGCAGATTGGTAACGAGTCTTTCGGAATTGTCTGTTTTGGCAGTTGTTCTCTTACCACATTGTCAACCTGATGTCGTTTTATCGGATTCATCAACTGTTCTATGTTCACGCGCGTGGGAGGCGACGGGACGGACTCCAAGCCAGGTGTATCTTGTCCATAATCATTATCCAATTACTCTAGAGAGGGAGTTTTGGATACGCAGTAGGATGCGTGGTATAGCACGGAAATCAGTACAATGGACATACCGAATCCCGGGGAGGATGGGTGAAAGTTTAGAACTTTAGTACAAAGAAGTCTGGTACTGGCTTCAAGGGCTCAGAAGGCACTCCCAGACAAGTAATGCGAAATTGTTATGATCTCATCTAGGGAGGCGGTGTGGTAAATATGTTAGGCACGTATATGGGTATGACCAGACGAACTAGCAATCCAGAATACAGCACAGCCTAAAAAGTAATACGTATGCATTAGAATTGGCGTATATATATACCTCACCTCAAATACTGAAACAAGAGAAAAATTAATAGAGCATTAAACAGAGTATAAATCATGTTCATCACATGATTGACATTGCCCATCTGAGCTTCGGATTTTGAGTCACCCAAACAAACAAATGGCCTGCGTTTAAATTTTTATAGAATATTCTCAACCATGAGCGGCGTATTCTCCCCGTCCTCCGACTTGACACATAGTTGTCAGCATTAGGAACGTAAGCGCAACTTCGTGAAATATCTGGGATGCTAGGACGAATCCAGAATGTCAACAGCTTGAGGGACAGCTGCAACCCGATTTACGGTCCATTCATTCAACGACCCATCGGAGTTCGTTGACATTGATGGACATAAAGTGAGTAATCAGTGGTTGGTTTGCTGCCAGACGAGCTAGCGAGCACCAAGAACTGTGCAATCCTCAATTCCCAGCGGCCTCTACGACAGGTTCCTGGGTAAGCCGTATACTACAGCTGGCTTGCAAATTTCATCACGAATGCTGCACCAACGTAGGACTTGTTCGGGCGAAGTCGGATGGTAGAAACTCATGGGACCCTTGACCGTGTCGAAGCACGGATACTGGACCAGCAATTGACCCACAAACCGCCCAGCGTCGAACAGGTTTTCGTGGTTGCAGTGATGGCCGTCTCGGCGTGGGCCTACATCGGAGGAATTAAGTTATCGAATCTGCCAGTGGTTTACCGATGAACGCTGAGCAGAAATACGCGACGACTGAGAAAGCAGCAAGTAGTCCAAAACGACTCCGTGTCACTCAGACCCGTTGCGCTTGAGTGAATCCGGCATAATTTGCTGGAAATCCACCGAGTCTGATGTTGTGCTGCCCGTCTTGAGACGTAAGCTAATGGTCAAGTGCCACGAGATGAGGCATCCATAAAAAGATAAGGCTTACTTCGGACTTGCTTTGGGAACGAAGAACTCGAGCTTACACGAATATTCAGTCGTTTGCAAACTAATTTGTTTTGTCGAAAGACACACCTAGAACCCAGGTGAACTGCACCATTGTGATATTTCCAAGCAACTGAATATGCTGCACCATGGCGATGCATGGTTCAGTTGCTGCGATACTCGAGATATCGCGGTACATGTATATTTGTAGTGCGCTACTCATAAGGTTGATGAATGTTTGTTGAAAGCCAACGACCGGTTTCCCTTTCTTAGGGCTCATCAGGTAGGGGCAGTCGCCGATGCAGGCGGCCGAACGAAGAGACCGGTGACATCGGTGCAGCTAGCTCATCGTGCTTCCACACAGCCTACCAAAGGCAAGTCCCTCTTCATGGTGATGCTCGGTCAGCAGCGCTGTCTTCTGCTTGATTAGAAAACTCGGCTACAGCGGGTATGAATCACCCATTTTACAGTTGCATGATAATCAGTGTATATCGACAGAACTTCGGGAAAACGCGAGGAGACGCAGTTTTTTAAAACAACACGCATGGAATAGTTTCAGTTTCCTGTCCTCGTGTCTGCAAAATGCTGTTCGCTTTTTCTGATAAACACCTCTTGGTGAACGGCTTCCCTACATTCACCGGTTCATAACTTACAAACTGGCTATTACAGATATTCCCTATACATGTCGCTGTA